TCAGTTTTAAGAAGTGGGAGAGGATTTTCCGGAGCTCTTTTCGCTTCATAGAGTCTACGTACGACGAGGGCACGAAACGCTCTAATCCACAGTCTTTTCTGGAATTTGTAAAGGCGTATGATAAGCAATTATAAGAATCAACGAAACGAGGGGAAATTAATGTATTGGTGGACCTTTCTTCTCGACCGTTAACTGCTTCGTCCTTTGAGCTCGTTATTAATGTCCAGATGTGCTTCACAAATTTCCCAAATTGCCGGGCCTTTCTGCACCATAAATCTTTCCATTAAGACTTTTTGGCACACATTTTTTTTATTTCAAAGTCAGGCCTTTCTTTTTATTCTTTAATCTTAATTAATTAAAATGGACCACACCTGGGGACTGCTGAGAAAAAATACTTTAGAAGAACGTTAAAATAAATTCATTGGCAAAACCGATGCATCAACTTCCGTACTATTCATCTTAGAACCCTAATCTCGTAATCTACGCAGTTTAAGAGATACCATCGGCGGATTAGATGGATATCATAAATATTTCACTACACTGTTTACCTGCAACAGATAACAAAACGCCACTGCACATATCCATTGACATTCGAATGCTGGCTTCTGGCGTTAATCGAGAACTTCCTCAAGAACTAATCCTTGCCCAACGATTATTAAATTTATACCCGGTTTAATGAACACAGTTAGGCCACGACCCACGTAGCCTCCAACCTTGATGAGCTTCATAATGCTCGCTCCAGCGTAGGAAACTCGCCTCTTTTGTTTATTATCCCGCCCAGACTAGACACTTATTGGACCTGATCCGGTACACAGGACCTCATTACCACGCTCTCTTAAATCAATAAGTGTGGTTCTGATGCATGGTAAAAGATACTCGAATACTAACGTTGTGAAAGACAACATAAGCTTTGCTTGAATAGATATCACGTTTTCTCTTCAATATATAATCCAATTTTTAAAAGCTTAGCTCTGTATAAACCCGTAAAATAAGTTCTGTTCAGCGACTCCACTCTCAGATGAGATACTACGTGTACTTTACTTATAACTTAAAGGTTCTTTTAGCGTCCATTTGATATGACTCCCTTAGCAGAGGGAAGGTTCCTGAAGTTTTACTTACTCGATGGTCTTGACCGAGACCTTGGCAGCCATGTTGTTGGTGAGGGCGTGTTGCTGGATGTGCAGGGCGGCCAACCGTAGTGCCACGTCGAACTGGAGCTCAGGCGCAAATCTCTCTTGGATCACGTCATTACAGCACTACGGAAGAAGCAGGTAGATAGTGTATGTGCTGGTGGCGTTATCATACCTGTATTTCGGTGTTTTAGTTCAGTAAATGTATAACCTGAGGTAATGGGAATAACTTGCTGGCGAGATGATGAATAATTTGGGCCAAGGCCTTTCATTATTATGATTCGGAGAAGCATTCTACGTGTGTCTGAGTCTGTACACATACGTGTTCCTACGTTTATGTAGATTTCTATGTCTCTCTGAAGTTTACGTGCCATCAATGACCAATGTGTTAGTTTCCTACTTGTGGTAAATACCATATAATGAACCTGAAAATATTATCTCTGGAAGCACTAATTCGACATTCATCTCCCTGTTAACAAAAATTAATTACCTTAATACACCTTGGCAATGCATTGAGAAAGCAGCGAATCACTCTAAAGAGACAAGACTGCTGTAAGCTACGCCAAGGCCTTCCTACATTTGTTATTTGCATAAAAAAGCTTTCCGGGGATTTATTTCAATCCCACGTAGAGGGACTCTGAGCGGACATTCCGTGTCATAGTCTTCTCTATATCTTCATCGGAACGCTAAATAATACTATTTAAGAAGACTACAAGCAAGTTTCACAGCAGATTATAAAACGAAAAATATCAACTATTTATCTTGCTCATTCTTAAGATAGTAAGCATTATAGATTAGAGTTAAGGGAAAAATAAACGAAAAAAACAAACAAACTAGTTTCCGTGACAAAAAGTGGTAAAGAAATATTTTTTGTGAAAAGGAAAGTCTGAAGAAAACTTCATACGCAGGCAACACTTTATTAAGGCATGCAAAGGAATAGCCATACAAACCTTAAGGACAATGATAAGCATCTAATAATATACAACATACTACGAGTACATTTGATGAAACAAGAACCAACATTCTCTTTAGGAGCTGAGTAGAAACGCGTACTTTAGAGATTACCATTAGTATCAACACCAAATAAATTTTCGAGGCGCAAAACTTTGTTCGTTTTCACAAAATTGCCAATAGGTGAGCGAGTTTGTCTCAGGGAAAGTTGTTAGCGTATGCGCACGACCCAAAGTGGCTGGGAAAGCACCTTTACCTCCGGAAAATTTTCCTTAACAGCTTCCAGAGAACATTCCAGCGAAAATACTTCTTCATTATCCTCTTCACTTGCGCTAACAATTTTCTCACCATTCGCCACCTCAGGAAAACCTCACCTACCGCTCTTAATTTCTTCAGGTGTTTCATAATGAGCTCGATATTTCTGATGATAATGGCCACTATCTTGAGTCTCAAGGCCCATTTCCCGAGTGACTTTAATCTCGCTAGGATATACAGCAAAAACCGCAGTTGGTAGAGCAGCTGCACCAGTTTACGATAGTTCCATAGCCACTTACCCATACTCTTCCAAGACGGCCTCTTAAACAAAGCCAGAGACCTTGCTGGCCCGGGGTAAAGGTACTGGACGGGACCGAGGAAAACAGAGGAAGGAGTAAGGGGAAAAACCTGTTCTATATTACAGCCGGTAAGAATGAGAAGTGCACGAGACCAAAGGAAGGGTGAGCATGCGACATCCCGGGCTACTAAGGGTGGAAGAGTGGGGTTACAGTAGTTTAACGCTAATGAAGGAGCATCCAAGGTCAGCGACCCCCGGAGAAGGGGTGACTGACCGATACTCCCGCCTCGACAGAAAGCCTCAAGACAGGCATCTACGTGATTAAGGCCGGGACCACAGGTGAAAGGTGAGGGCAAGTGCCATGGCAAGGTGCAGAAGTTCCTGGAGTGAACCAGAGGAAGAAAGCTCTCTCGCAGGCCCAGTGCCGGTGCGAGGGGACCGCTTGTCGATCCCACGCAGTCATTTACCTGGAGGTAAAGATACTCGAAGGCCATCGAGTCCTTTCTCAGCAAATCGTAGGCATCTCGGGGGACGAAGGTCACACGGTACAGGCATCTCAGATGCTGAGCGCCTGGACGTGCTGCAATCTGGAACATTTAAAAACATTAATCATAGTACTACAAACTAAAACAACAATGATGACGTAATAGTAAATAATATTTTAAATATATCCGGCCCAGAAGAAGAACTGTCGACTCACCCTGGAGAGTGTCTCCTTTGGGTCTAAGATGGTAAGTTTATTCCTTCTGAGGCTCTTGACATGTTCTACCACCAGCGAGAAGTGTTCGGGGCACTTAATGCCCAGCTTTTGGTGGAGGGAGTCCAGCACGTCGCCCACCGTCGTGCTGGAGTCGTATTTGAATGACTTAGTTTGGCCATTTTCCAGGAACACTTTCAGGACGTTGGGCATGAAGGGCGTTGTTGACTCGCTCGAATTGAAGTTTGTACGTTTGCCATCAAGATTGACCAATGTGTAAGTTTCCTACTTTGGTAAATACCATATAATGAACCTGAAAATATTATCTCTGGAAGCACTAATTCGACATTCATCTCCCTGTTAACAAAAATTAATTACCTTAATACACCTTGGCAATGCATTGAGAAAGCAGCGAATCACTCTAAAGAGACAAGACTGCTGTAAGCTACGCCAAGGCCTTCCTACATTTGTTATTTGCATAAAAAAGCTTTCCGGGGATTTATTTCAATCCCACGTAGAGGGACTCTGAGCGGACATTCCGTGTCATAGTCTTCTCTATATCTTCATCGGAACGCTAAATAATACTATTTAAGAAGACTACAAGCAAGTTTCACAGCAGATTATAAAACGAAAAATATCAACTATTTATCTTGCTCATTCTTAAGATAGTAAGCATTATAGATTAGAGTTAAGGGAAAAATAAACGAAAAAAACAAACAAACTAGTTTCCGTGACAAAAAGTGGTAAAGAAATATTTTTTGTGAAAAGGAAAGTCTGAAGAAAACTTCATACGCAGGCAACACTTTATTAAGGCATGCAAAGGAATAGCCATACAAACCTTAAGGACAATGATAAGCATCTAATAATATACAACATACTACGAGTACATTTGATGAAACAAGAACCAACATTCTCTTTAGGAGCTGAGTAGAAACGCGTACTTTAGAGATTTCCATTAGTATCAACACCAAATAAATTTTCGAGGCGCAAAACTTTGTTCGTTTTCACAAAATTGCCAATAGGTGAGCGAGTTTGTCTCAGGGAAAGTTGTTAGCGTATGCGCACGACCCAAAGTGGCTGGGAAAGCACCTTTACCTCCGGAAAATTTTCCTTAACAGCTTCCAGAGAACATTCCAGCGAAAATACTTCTTCATTATCCTCTTCACTTGCGCTAACAATTTTCTCACCATTCGCCACCTCAGGAAAACCTCACCTACCGCTCTTAATTTCTTCAGGTGTTTCATAATGAGCTCGATATTTCTGATGATAATGGCCACTATCTTGAGTCTCAAGGCCCATTTCCCGAGTGACTTTAATCTCGCTAGGATATACAGCAAAAACCGCAGTTGGTAGAGCAGCTGCACCAGTTTACGATAGTTCCATAGCCACTTACCCATACTCTTCCAAGACGGCCTCTTAAACAAAGCCAGAGACCTTGCTGGCCCGGGGTAAAGGTACTGGACGGGACCGAGGAAAACAGAGGAAGGAGTAAGGGGAAAAACCTGTTCTATATTACAGCCGGTAAGAATGAGAAGTGCACGAGACCAAAGGAAGGGTGAGCATGCGACATCCCGGGCTACTAAGGGTGGAAGAGTGGGGTTACAGTAGTTTAACGCTAATGAAGGAGCATCCAAGGTCAGCGACCCCCGGAGAAGGGGTGACTGACCGATACTCCCGCCTCGACAGAAAGCCTCAAGACAGGCATCTACGTGATTAAGGCCGGGACCACAGGTGAAAGGTGAGGGCAAGTGCCATGGCAAGGTGCAGAAGTTCCTGGAGTGAACCAGAGGAAGAAAGCTCTCTCGCAGGCCCAGTGCCGGTGCGAGGGGACCGCTTGTCGATCCCACGCAGTCATTTACCTGGAGGTAAAGATACTCGAAGGCCATCGAGTCCTTTCTCAGCAAATCGTAGGCATCTCGGGGGACGAAGGTCACACGGTACAGGCATCTCAGATGCTGAGCGCCTGGACGTGCTGCAATCTGGAACATTTAAAAACATTAATCATAGTACTACAAACTAAAACAACAATGATGACGTAATAGTAAATAATATTTTAAATATATCCGGCCCAGAAGAAGAACTGTCGACTCACCCTGGAGAGTGTCTCCTTTGGGTCTAAGATGGTAAGTTTATTCCTTCTGAGGCTCTTGACATGTTCTACCACCAGCGAGAAGTGTTCGGGGCACTTAATGCCCAGCTTTTGGTGGAGGGAGTCCAGCACGTCGCCCACCGTCGTGCTGGAGTCGTATTTGAATGACTTAGTTTGGCCATTTTCCAGGAACACTTTCAGGACGTTGGGCATGAAGGGCGTTGTTGACTCGCTCGAATTGAAGTTGGACGGCTGCGGGAGGACAAGGAACCGAAACTATGTGAAAAAACAGGACATAAAGCAACGCAAAGCAAGACAAATGAATGTGGCTTCAAAGTGTCATACGCAGGCATTCCGAGAACAACTTACAGAATACGATGGCGATCCGTTGATGTCGACGCTCTCAGCAAACCTGACCCTGGAGGGGTTGTTCTTCAGCCGCTGCTTTTTGGCGGCGCTCAGCAGGGCCGACTTCCGCTCCGACTGTTGGGGGAAATCAAGGGTTACTAATAGCTGAGACAATATGTCATTCACACAGAAGATTCATCATACGAATCTGCGGTAAAACTGCACAGTGTTTCAATCACACCCCAAGAGAATTTTGTTTTTACGACGTCAACTTCTACAGAGAAATCACAATAATAGAAACATGATTGATTACTGAAGACTGTTTCCCAATTGTTTCCTCCTCCATTCTCTATTTATCAGTTCAACCAACAAAGCTAGCTCTTCTGGACTCCATCATTTCCCTCCCCTCTTCAAGACCCCATCACCCCCCCCCCCCTCCATCTAGACCAGTTCGCTCCCTCCCTCCTTGACTCCATCACTCCCGGGTTCATTGCAACAAAACTTGGCTTAATTACTCATCCCAGCAGCTTTAAGTCAAACACATATCTGAACGAAACGGAAAAGCTTTGAATCGCTGAGACAGGACGTTCTCTCCGGTCAGAATATGAGGATGGGGTTCAAAGAAACAATACAAAGACAAATTAGCTTCTGTGTTTGCCCGGCGGTCGTGTATGTGATTGGATCATAAGGTCACGGGTCACGAGCGTGGTGGTGCGTAGAATGGCGTGGTACAGTGCACTGTGGTGCAGTATGAATGATGCAATACGCCACAGTGTGGTGTGCCACGAGCATGTACCGTGTTACATGGTGGGTATTTTAGCTAGATACAGTATGATGCACTGGAGAGCAGTTTATTGTGGCATGGTGTAATGTGATGTGGAGAGCTATGGACATAGGACAACTTGATTTTTCTCTACGTTGTTAAAAAAGTGTCGGAGCTGCGTGCAGTGCGGTGTAGTGAGGGGACTAGACCCTGGTAAAGTGAAGTGTTGCATGTACGAATACAAGGAGAGTAGAGTAGAGTTTCGGCGCGCGGGGAAGTAGTAAGAGAGAGAGAGAGAGAGAGAGAGAGAGAGAGAGAGAGAGAGAGAGAGAGAGAGAGAGAGAGAGAGAGAGAGAGAGAGAGAGAGAGAGAGAGAGAGAGAGCAGAGACGGCGATAGCCGAAGCGGAACATACGGTCAATGACGGCCCGAGGGTTGATGGCGGTGGTCTGGTCGCGGACGTCTCTGTGTCGCAGTCGCGGGCACGTGTCCGGGAAAAGTTTCTCATCCCGGCCAAAGTTTTCTCATTACGACTCAATAAATTCGTCAAGCAACAGTCTTCCTCCCGCAAGCAAATATTCAGAAAAGACTGTAACAGATTTACAACGGAAACTTTGTCGATGAATCCGCGAAAGTATCGAGAAATTCTTTAAAGTAAATTGATACGCAAATCCGGGACACGACCGGCTATATTCGCCGCCACACGAGCAAGTAAATACAATCCACAAATTGTGTTTTCTTGGCTAATTCCCGTGTTTAACATCCAGCCTTTTGTTCCTTCATACCTGTATATCCTCTGAGGAAATGCGCGCTGCCACCGAGAAAGACAAATTGGCATTGTTCTCTCTAACGTTACAGCCAAAGGCAAGACTGACGAATGCGCTCAGTGTCAGTCACAGGAGGAAAGGAAGAGGAGGAGTGGGTGAGAGAAGGGAAGAAGGGGGAAGAGGTGAAGCGGGTGTGGGAAGGGAAGAAGAGGGAGGAGGCGGAAGGAAGGGAAGGAAGAAGAGGAAGAGGGAAGAGAAGAAGAATGAAGAGAAGTGTGAGAGGGAAGGAGAGAAGAGGGGAGAAGAGAAGCGGGGGTTGGAAAGGAAGAGGAGGGAGCAGAACGGAAGGGAAGTACAAAAGAGAAGAAAAAGAAGGAGGGAGAAGTAGAAAAGGCGAAGGACGAGAAGGAAGAAAGGGGAATGAAAATGTAGGAGTGGGGAAGAGGGAAGACAAAAAGTGGAAAAGCGAAGGACAGAACACGGAGAAGAGGAGAAACAGAAGGCGGTTGCTGAAGAGGGAAGAGGACATGGAAAGGGAGAAGATAAGGGAGAGGCATAAGAGGGGAGAGGAAAGAGGAGAAACAGGAAAGGGAGTGGCAGAAGAAACGAGGAATGAGAGAGAAGTGGGGCAGGTGGAATGGGCAGAAGAAGGAGAGGCTGAGAGGAAAGAGGCAGAAAAGACGAAAAAGACGAAATCAGAGAGGGAAGAGCAGGAGGTAGAATTGGGGAAGGGGCGAGCAGAATAAGGGAAATGGGAGAACCGGCAAAGAAAAAAGGTAGAGATCGGAAAGGAATGGGGTCGGAGAGGGGAAAAGAATAAAACGAAATATGAGGGAAAGAGAATACAGACGAAAAAGAAAGGAAGAGTGAACAAATGGCATTGGCAGGGGTGGATTGTGGCGATGTGTAAAGCTATCGCGATATAACAGCTGTGAATGGCATGTAGAAATAGCGTTCGCCGAATATTCGCAACGCTCCGAGTGACTTCCTTAACTTCAGCAATTTAGTTTCGATATTTCCGGGCTTTGCAGCGTCCATAGCCGGATTCGCTCTGAAAATGATTTTCCTCCTCTGCCCTCAGCTCTCTTTCGCCGCATTATTTTCCAAGATAATCAAACTCCAGACTTAACGGCCCTGAAACTGCAATGAACAGTGAATGGGAAACTTAGGTAACAACCATACAGAAGACCAAAGTCAGCCACTGTAGGAAAGTTCGCTTCCAATATCTGACACGATTAAATCAGTTGGCAGATATAACGGATGAGACACCAATATCCAATATGAAACGCTCGAGTGACAGCTTAGCAGTAATTGGCAAAATTTTACGCCGGTGCCGCGATGATTGTGTCCCGCTGATCTAATATCATCATTATACATCTCATTACCGGAAAAGGAGCTCTTCCTCCATTCACTGAACTTGGGCTAATTATTGGGGTGATTATGAGCCGCTCACTCAAGCATTATCTTTCCAGATAAGAAATTAATCGCGTCTCCCTTCCGGCAATCACTCTTCTAGGGTGCTGTGCTTCATATGCTTCACGGTTTTATGTATCCAGGGGCGGAAGGGGCGACGAGGGGCGTCAAGATGATCCTCCAGAGGGTCTGGCTGGCAGTGTATAGGAAAGCGGAGATCGATCACGGATAGAGAGACGGAATTATCTTCATGGTGCTTGGGAAGGAGGAGCTCTCCTTCAAGATCTGCGAGGAGGGGCTGTTTCCTTACAAGGCTTTCGAGCAGAATTAAATCGTGTGCTCTGACGGGGGAGCGAATATAAAAGTATATTCCGCCGAGCAGCGACATGAGGGACGACGGCAATTACGAGAACAGGGAGGAATCAACTTGAGATCACGTGATAAAGAGTCGCGGCAAAGGTCACCAGAACGACCTGGGAAGCGAGAGGCGAGGTTCCTGGAGCGCGGGTGGTGCGGCGTTCATACTACGCGATGATATATGAAGAAAACGAGGCAGTGTACTGCGAGGATGCGTGAAGGGAGGAAAGAGCATTGGGGTTTTGGAGGTGTGAGGAATGGAACGAGAGAAAGGATGGGGATACAGGCAACTGCATGAAAACCACTTTATAAGAAATCTCACATGGGAACCGTGTCTGCGATATAATAGCGGAATCCTCGTGGAATCTCATTATAAAAGCCTGCGCGAGTGAGGCCGGGCAGAAGAGACTTGTTCAGAGTGAATAGAAGGTCTGCGAGCGAGAGGGGGGAAGTAAGACAAGGCAGGCGAAGGAAAGGGAGCGGAGAGACATTCTTCACAGCAAGCATGTCTCGGAGAATCCAAAATGCCCATTACTATATCAAAAAATGTTAGGCGAGGAAGTGAATTTCAAAAAAGTGATTTAATGAAACAAACGAAAAAATATATATTTTTTTAGTTCCACTCAGACGCTGATAAACATCCCTACTACAGGATAAAAAATATAAGAATCGAGAAAAAAACGACAGGAAAAAAGCCCCAGGGTGAAGAGGAAGAGAGAAAGCAGTTACAAGTTGAGTCCTGCGTCGCGAATTCCACGCAAGAAAGTTCGGCATACGACCCGCAAGCTCATTTGAACGAAATAAATGTTGATAAAAGAGGGAAAGAGCACGTGAGTTATTCCTGAACATGGCAGCCCCTTTATCAATAATACGATAAGGCCTTTGATTCGACCTCAGAACAGCCACCCCCTATGTGAGAGCAATATTCCATACGAGGGTGAATTTGAGAGAGAGAGAGAGAGAGAGAGAGAGAGAGAGAGAGAGAGAGAGAGAGAGAGAGAGAGAGAGAGAGAGAGAGAGAGAGAGAGAGGGCGAGCATACAGAAGTAGCAAGGATGTTACATATCGTGAAAATAAACATTACAAATCCGACTCAAAGCAGAACGCAATTACCATCACGACCATCGGAACGCATACATTCTCCCCTTTCCCTGTCCCTCCCCTGCCGCCCCTGCCCCTGTCCCCGCCTTGGCACGCTGGCAGGGAGACTCTTCAGACGCTTCTGGTGGTCGCGCTTTAAATTCCTTACGTCACACGGAGTTGACCCAGCCCGACCCGTGAAATGAATGTACTGTCTTGCGGGAGACTAATGAGAGATTCCTTTGGCCCCGAGGGAGAATTGAGGCGGAGGCACCGGGAGGGGAAATGGGGAAAGGGAGGCAAGGGGGAGGCGAGGGGCAGGGAGAGGAAGGCGAGGGGAAGGGAGAGGAAGGCGAGGGATTGGATCTCTTGCCTCCCCTCGCTTCAAAGCCTGTGATACACGGCATGACAGCGCATGATATACTCTATGAAATGCCTTTCTTTCTGTTGCTATTTCTAGATCGTGTACTGGGAACTGTAAACAGGGAGTGTTTATCTTTCCGAATTGGAAATATCGCCTTTTGTCAGGGGACAAACGATGACCTCCAGCATGATCAAAAAGCGACTCCTGCTGTGATCATTGTAGCGAGTGTGCAATACAAGCGTTTATTCTGGGTTCGAACTCCATGCGACTCGACAATATAACACCAATGAAACAATTTCTGATGGAAATTCCACCGGAAAAAATATTAATAATGTCTTACTGTTTAAGGTGGGTTAGAGAGGATGAACATAGTGCAATATAAGAATAATATTAACAGTGATAACCAGAATAGAAATAAAGCCACCATTTTTCCAGACTGGTGAAGTCAGTGACATATTTTTACAGTCCTGGGTCGCGAATTCCACGCAAGAAAGTTCGGCATACGACCCGCAAGCTCATTTGAACGAAATAAATGTTGATAAAAGAGGGAAAGAGCACGTGAGTTATTCCTGAACATGGCAGCCCCTTTATCAATAATACGATAAGGCCTTTGATTCGACCTCAGAACAGCCACCCCCTATGTGAGAGCAATATTCTATACGAGGGTGAATTTGAGAGAGAGGAAGAGAGAAAGCAGTTACAAGTTGAGTCCTGGGTCGCGAATTCCACGCAAGAAAGTTCGGCATACGACCCGCAAGCTCATTTGAACGAAATAAATGTTGATAAAAGAGGGAAAGAGCACGTGAGTTATTCCTGAACATGGCAGCCCCTTTATCAATAATACGATAAGGCCTTTGATTCGACCTCAGAACAGCCACCCCCTATGTGAGAGCAATATTCTATACGAGGGTGAATTTGAGAGAGAGAGAGAGAGGAGAGAGAGAGAGAGAGGAGAGAGAGAGAGAGAGAGAGAGAGAGAGAGAGAGAGAGAGAGAGAGAGAGAGAGAGAGAGAGAGAGAGAGAGAGAGCGAGCATACAGAAGTAGCAAGGATGTTACATATCGTGAAAATAAACATTACAAATCCGACTCAAAGCAGAACGCAATTACCATCACGACCATCGGAACGCATACATTCTCCCCTTTCCCTGTCCCCTCCCCTGCCGCCCCTGCCCCTGTCCCCGCCTTGGCACGCTGGCAGGGAGACTCTTCAGACGCTTCTGGTGGTCGCGCTTTAAATTCCTTACGTCACACGGAGTTGACCCAGCCCGACCCGTGAAATGAATGTACTGTCTTGCGGGAGACTAATGAGAGATTCCTTTGGCCCCGAGGGAGAATTGAGGCGGAGGCACCGGGAGGGGGAAATGGGGAAAGGGAGGCAAGGGGGAGGCGAGGGGCAGGGAGAGGAAGGCGAGGGGAAGGGAGAGGAAGGGATTGGATCTCTTGCCTCCCCTCGCTTCAAAGCCTGTGATACACGGCATGACAGCGCATGATATACTCTATGAAATGCCTTTCTTTCTGTTGCTATTTCTAGATCGTGTACTGGGAACTGTAAACAGGGAGTGTTTATCTTTCCGAATTGGAAATATCGCCTTTTGTCAAGGGACAAACGATGACCTCCAGCATGATCAAAAAGCGACTCCTGCTGTGATCATTGTAGCGAGTGTGCAATACAAGCGTTTATTCTGGGTTCGAACTCCATGCGACTCGACAATATAACACCAATGAAACAATTTCTGATGGAAATTCCACCGGAAAAAATATTAATAATGTCTTACTGTTTAAGGTGGGTTAGAGAGGATGAACATAGTGTAATATAAGAATAATATTAACAGTGATAACCAGAATAGAAATAAAGCCACCATTTTTCCAGACTGGTGAAGTCAGTGACATATTTCAATTCAACACAGAAATACGATCCGAAATATTTTGAAGTTCATTTTTCCCGTCGAAAATATATATATAAAAGGAAAGCAGTGCGAATTTTCCTGTTGATATGGATAATTCTTTTCGCACTGTGTCAAAAACGAAAGAAAAAAAATCCTATTTATGGAGCGACTACATCATCATTTTACATCGTTTGTGAGCCTGTCTGCCTTGCGTACGAAACATAACAGACTATTTTGTGATGAAATCATTTCTCCAATAAAGATGCAGTGTTTAGTTCACCGCAAAATCAAATTAATTAGTGTCTAATTCAATCACGTATGTATCATATTAACGAATATTCAACATGGACTATAATTCATCATGTCGAACCACTGTAAAGGAAAAAAAATATATTCTCTACCTGCCTCCATTTTGAATCTTGTACACTCAATTTCGCAATCTGAAGTCAGAGGATTTAAAACAACATAAATGGAGAAACGCCCCCCCCTTGCCCTCACTTGTTACAGCGAAGAGGTTCTCCCACCTGCACTTGAAGCCCGGACGCCACTCCTTCCATTAATTGCTTCTAATTCTGATGCTTGAGCCCCGTTTAATGATTTTACAACCTCTTCTCGGCCCCGACGGACCCCCTTCCCCCTCCCTCTCGAGTCCTTCCTCCCTTTGATCAACGCGACCCTTTTTCATCCCAACATGGAAAGTCGCCACAAGCGGAATTAACCCTAATGGCCATTCTTGATGACCTCGTTCTTAAATAATGAGGCAATTCCAGCGTATGTGCCGTTTTGACACTAAAAAGAGCGTTTCTTTGTTGCTCTACCTGACACAAACAAGTAACGAGAAGGGGAGGAAGGGAAGGGAGGGGAAGTCCACACTGCAGGTCCGACCTCCCCCCCCCTCCCCGACCGTTCATTACGTGTGTTTGTGCGACTGGGAAGTGTGGGCGGGATATGTATGCATCAGAGGGACTACGAGAACAGAGTGTTGATGAGACTATCTGTGTCAGTGGGAACGCGACACTGGGGAGCGGAGTGGGGAGTGTGCATCAGTGGGCATATTTGTAGGGGGGTTCTGTGTAGGCAGCGATGGGAAAATACGAATGGATTTGGGAAACGGGTTCGACTACGAGCGTGCCGTCATGAAGGTGTGCTCAGCAGCAGGAATCCCGTGATCTGGATGCGGCGTACCGTAAGCTCGAGGGCTCATGGGCGTGATAAATGTGGTGAGAATGCGTGAGTGGAAAAAGACAAATCCCTCTTTCACAGGCGACTGCCTCATCTGGTATGTTCCTTGCTCCACGATCCAGCTGTAATTACCTCGCCCGTGCCGTTCTTTTCACCTAACAGCGTGGGTTGATTTCGCAAAACTAGTGACTTCTTTTTTAGGACTACATATGCATCATTTTAAACCCACACTTTAAATCTTTAGAAACACTGATGCACTTTCCGCAATCCGTGAAAGAATACACGACAGATAACGTCAGAAATGATTACAATTAATTAGAGTTTTACCTCCATCACCCATTCCCAGTCATCCTCCAAGAGCCTTACTGCGCTGGATTGAGTAGGAATGAGCCAGTCTAGTGCTCAGGCCGAAATAAATATGAACGGCGTGACTCATTTCTGGGGATAACAAGCATTGAAACCTACAAGGAAATGCGCTTTGGGCCGAGTATCAAATTGAAATAAGGCCGCATACTGGCTTTTCAGTAATAATTCCATCGGTGGAGCTTTTCACCTTATATCTTAGGGCCCTAACAGATTACATACATACACACATACATACATACATACATACATATAAACATACGGACATACATGCATACACACAAATACACAAGCACGCGCGCGTACACACACACACACACACACACACACACACACACACACACACACACACACACACAAACAAATACACACACACACAAGCACACACACGTACACACACACACACACACACACACACACACACACACACACACACACACACACACACACACACACACACACACACACACACGCACACACACACGCACACATACACACACACACACGCACACATACACACACACACACACGCGCACACACACACACACACACACACACACACACACACACACACACACACACACACACACACACACACACACACACACACACACACACATACACACTCTCACACACACAGATATGTGTGTATATATATATATATATATATATATATATATATATATATATATATATATATATATATATATATATATATATATATATATAGCTTGTAGGACTGAGCAAAATCATTCAAATAAATTGTGATCCTGTATCAAAAAAGAAAAGCACCAGAAAAAAAGAGAGAGAGATGGGGCAGGGCGGAGAAAACAATCAAGTTAAGAATAAAGTCTGCCCTACACGTGGCGGTGCAGCCACAATCACTCACGTTGTCAAGGGGCGGTTGCGTGACGGTGAGTTGGACGCGGTCCTTGCATGACCTGACCAACTGGATCACGTGGTCCCGGGGCGCCTTCTTCACGTCCTCGCCGTTGATCATGAGGATCTGGTCCCCAGGTAGCAGCTTCTCCACGCTGGGGCCGCCCTCCGTCACGAAC